ACATACCGATGCCTGTGAGCTCTGACCACCTTGGAAATTGACATTAAAAATACATCATACTTTATCAATTATAATGTAAAAAAAAAAAAAAATTTATCTTGATTCGGGAAAACAGGAATTTTAACAAGTTTATTTTAAACATTCTATTTTAAAATATTTTGTACGAGCCAGATTATTATTTAACAATAAAGTCTGTTACAATCAGCTTAAATACAATAGGATTTTTTTTTGTGACATGCATTTAAGGAAAAAAAAAAAAAATTTTTTTTTTTTTTTTATTTTATTTATTTTTTTTTTTCGAATTTATATTAGGTTATTCCGATTCTAATTCCGTTTAGTTTCCTTTTTTGATTTAAAACCTGTTATTAAATCTTAATAATGAATCTATTGTTGTTTTAAATTTCGCAATTACGCCTTTTGACCCTAGAATTCCATCAATTCCTGTATTTTTTCCTTTATGAAAAAAAATTTTTTTTTAAAAAAACATGTGATTGAACTAAAAAATTTTTTCTACATTAACCATTTTAGGAAAGTTGGATTATCTAAAATTTTTTTTTTATTTTTTTTTCATATTTTTTTTTGGACCAAAAGGTGATGGGAAATAAAATAATATAATTGTAAAAAATAATGTGGGGTACATACATTTTTATTATGATTTCCGCCATTGTCCGGTTTACTAGTAACAGTTAAAAAAAAGATCTTAACATCAGATAAATCATATTAATCCGTGAAAACCCATTTTTTCGGATTATAGGTTTTCTCAAATAAACCCGTTATCCATTGTCTATATTTTATGCAAGGGGAGGAACTGAAAGGAGCCAGTTATATATACTATTATTATTACGTAGTCATTTTATATATCCTCCAATAATCGAAAAGGGTAATTAAACTTCATCATATCTTTTAAGAAAATTAAATTATCTTTTTTTTTTTTAAACAAATAGAAAATCCGGAGAAAGCCACGATAATTGTTGACGTTATATAAAACATTGTGGAGTAATAATAATAAATTTGTTTATTGTGGAGTTTATGTATTAAGTTAAATATTGTATTAGTCTCGATGTTTCCGATGTTTCGATATAAACATTTGCTTTATATTTTTTACTTTTTAGGTTTTTAAACATTTTTTCATCGTTCCGCAGTAAAATAAGTTAGATCACGTGAAATCCAGTGTAAGAGAAGAAAAAAAAAAAATTTTTTTTTTATATATAGATGGATCAATTTATTTTATAAAATGAATTTTTTATATTGAACTTTAAAAGAGTAATCCTAATGCAATTGGAATAAAAGATTCAAAAGAAGAATTCGATTGTTTAAAAGTCCATTGTTCATGTCCGCAGCATTTATTGACTTTCAGTATGAAAATTTTCGCAAATGGTTAATTGACAACGCATACATACATGTACATTTTATAAACTTACAGTTTTTTCAAAATTTTTCATTTTAATGAAATGGATCAAAAAGAAGTAAAAAAGAATCTAAAAAGTTATTATAGAATTTGAGTGTGATAAGTGATTTTTTTTTTTTATCTGATTCATTTTTTTCGTATTGTTCACTTTTAAAAATTTTAGGGGAGGGACTT